ATCAACATGCTTATTTTTTTGGCCATCAAATCCCCTCCCCCCTCAAACCACATTTTCCGCAACCCAAGATGACGAATTTGCCCCATTTTCAAAGATGGTGAGGTCTAACCGACAGATCGCACGTGTATTTTGCCGCGCGGCGTACCAGGCGTCCAGTGGGCCGACCGCCTGGCTCTGGCCGTGGCAGAAAGCGAAAGCTGGAGGGCGAAGGAGACAAAGGTGCCCTTTTTTGTGACCAATCTCTTCACTGAGAGATCTGCTCTCATGCATACGAGTGTTGGTGTGGCTGTGGGTGCAGTGCGGCCGTCGTCGGTGCAGTACCACTGCGACTATTGCCAAAAAGACATCTCCAACGTCGTGCGCATCCGCTGCGCCATTTGCAAGGTGCACTGTTGTGTGTGTGTGTGTGTCGTGTGTGCGGTGTGTGCGGTGTGTGCTAACTACGAACGTGGGTTTCAGGACTTTGATCTGTGTCTGGAGTGCTTTTCTGTAGGGGTGGAGATCAAAGAGCACAAGAACGATCACGACTACAAGATCATGGATTACATGTCCTTCCCCCTCTTCGAGGAAGGCTGGGGCGCCGATGAAGAGCTGTTGTTGCTCGAAGCCATCCAGATGTACGCATTTATTCTATACATGATTCCATGCTGTGCAAGTGTTCTGACACCCCGGCGTGGGTGGTGCGCTGCTGAGCCAGGTATGGTATTGGCAACTGGAGCGAAATCTCTGAGCACGTTGGTACCACCAAATCGCCAGAGATCTGTCGAGACCACTACTTCACCGTCTACATTCAAAGCGCCACCTCTCCCGAACCTGTACGTGATCACACCTCCCAGGCGCCTGTGCCCCGCGCACTTGCGCTTCCTCTCTTTTGCTCATGAGACATGAGACCTCGCTACGCTGGATGTGCTGCCTTGCAGGATACCACCAAGACGTTGACGACGGATCTGAAAGAGTACCTGCGCACGCGGCTAGGCCGACATCAAAGTCCAAGCTTCGCCGAGCCTGAGCCGCCGGCTTCCTCCGCTTTGTGTACGCGAGGCCTAGCCCCTTTCCACCTCTCTCCCGCTTTGCTCTCATACCTGCACCACCCGGGCAGCACAAGGACAAGGTTCCAAGACCACCTCCAAAACCAACCAAAAGAAGAAAGTGAAGGTCAGTTCCTCATTCCTGAGACTTCGAAGGCTCTATTCTGTTGGAGTGTTGTGCTGACGTGACGCGAATGTATCAACTATGTGCAGCACAACGTCAGTTGTCCGATTGCTGCGCCGGACCAAGCCGGCTACATGCCCAAACGCAAAGAGTTCGAAACGGTGTGTAGAAATGAGCGTATTCGACTGCGTTCAGCTTTCTTACCAGCAAGTTGTTTATATGGGCCATGCACAGGAATGGAACAATGACGCGGAGTGCCTGATTGCCGACATTGTGCTTGAAGACGAAGATGACGACGAGATCAGAGGTCGGTTTCTTGTCCCTCGCCCCCATCTGCGCTGGCATCCTCCTCGGAGCGATGTGTGCTGACCACCCTTCACTGTGACGTGTATGTACACCATAGACTTGAAGGGCTCTGCGCTGGAGGTGTACAACAGAAGGCTGGACGAAAGACTATACCGGAGAGCTTTCGTCATCGAGAATGACCTCGTCGAACAAAAGAAGGTGTGCAGTGTGTAGTGTGTGCCTCGCCTTTTTGCTCACGTCGTGCCTTTGGTCCGTATGTATATATATATGTATTCACCCTGGTCTCTTGGCGTGTTTCCATTTGCGTAGAAGCAGGCTGCTGCCAAGGAGAAGAAGAGCAAGGAGGAGATACAGGAGGAGAGGGAAATCTCACGAGCCATGCAGAAGTTTCTGCAGCTGCAGGGCAAGGGTGAACACGAGCCGTTCATCGATGGCCTCGTCCGTACGTGTCGCCCTCCCCCCTCTCCTCTCCACGCCCTCACGAAGTTCGGAAATCTACAATTCAACGCGTGCGCGCAGCTGACCTTTCCCAACGTCGACCCTTAACAGAAGAGTCGCTACTCCGAAAGCGAATAATGCAGCTGCAGGAATGGCGAAAGATGGGGATCAAGACCTTGATCGAGGGCGAAGTTTATGAGAAGGAAAAGGCGCGGTACAGGCGATGCCTTCCTCTTCTTCTGCTCTTTCCTTGTCGGCCCCTCACCCATGGCGCGGCGACTTACGCACCTCTCTCTGTCGCTCGTCTGTTTGGACAGGCGCGAAGCAGAAAAGGGCCGAATGACCCGCGGCGTAGCCAACTCCATCTACGCTATGGAGAGGACTGGCGTGCGCGGTTCCAAATGGATCAACAGGTTTGCTTTGCTTTGCTGCCCGTCTCCCATAATGCTTGCTTCCAAGGCTGCGTCCCCCTTAGCTCCTGCTCACGATCGCCGTTTTGCAGACACAATGCCATTCCATGGGACTTGCTCACTGACGACAAGGACAAGAAAAAGGGGAAGCTCACGAGGAAGCAAGGTATCGTTGTCGTATCGTGTGTGTGTGTGTTGTGTGTGTGTGTGTGTGTGTGTGTGATGTGTGTGTGTGTGTGTGTGGCTGCCGGTGCCATTGTATGGCCCACAGTTGTGGACTACCGCGGTTACTAACCGGAAGCTTGTGTTTGTGGGACCGTGTGCAGCTCCGCTGGACTTGACCGGAGCTCCCAAGTTGGAGTGTTTGTCCCTCAAGGAACGGGAGCTGTGTGGAGCGCTCAGGCTCTACCCGCAACAGGTTCCACTTTTATCCCTCTTCAAGAAGGCAGTTCAAAGAGCAGCACTTATACATCTCTCTTTCTCTCTCTCGCGCGCGCGTGCAGTATGTGTTGATCAAGGAGACCCTTATACGGGAGTCGCTGCGACATGGCGGACAAATGCCCAAGGCGCTCGCACGCAAACTCATCAAGATTGGTACGGCGACAAGAGGCCTTCTTTGAGTGATGAGTTGCCTCCCTAACCCTCAAGTACCCTTGTCGATGATGATGACGATGATGATGATGATGTGGGCGCAGATACACCGCGGGTCAACAGGATCTATGAGTTCATCGAGAAGAGTGGGTGGATAGCAGCACCGGCCCCCAACAAGAAGTCTTGAGATCATCCACCCGCCCGTTTGTGGTGGCCAAATTCATAATAAAAAACGGCACAAGGAAAATGATTGTGCATACGAAGAATTATCAGAATGGCCGCAGTGGAGTTAGAGACTGCTGTCTCTCGTGTTCCCTCTCGTCCTCTGCGCTTGGGCCCTTTCATTTATTTCCGGGACGTGTTGTTGGGGGGGTGTACAGGTGGCCCTAGCCAGCCGTGCACTGGCGGGGGAGGCTGAAAGCGACGTGGTGTGGGCCACCCTCTTCCTACGGCGGTTCGGCACCGACTTTTGGGGCGAGGACGCCGCTCCCCACCCCTACCACGTACATGACCCCTTCTCAGCGCACATCCCCTTCCCCTTCTGGTGAACATGTGTATTGACCTCATGTGTGGACCTCGCCTTCATCTTCTTCGGCACCAGGCTGTGCCCGAGGAGCAACCGAATGAGTGGCTCCAGCGGCCCGCCGTCGACGTGTTTGCCAGCTTCCTCCACGACGACAACCATTCGGGAGTCAGGCATCGTTTGCTAGCCTTTGTGTTGCAACAGCGCCACTCGGGAGCGGAAGACGAAAGTAGGACCACCAGTGGATGGAAGGCGGCCTACAGACGGTTCGCGCTAACGACGCCCCCGCCCCTGGCCCATTTCTTCGGGTGGTGTCGTGTACTCATGGACGGACACACGAGGTGGGGTGCACCAGGATGCACGAGATGGTGTCGACATGGCAGGCGGAGAGCGATGTCGGGTTCATCATCGCGGGTCACACGTCCTTCGAGCGGCTGTCGGCCATTGCCGACATCATCAAGGAATCCGCGGTCACTGGTACTGACTGTCCTTACTCGGTGCTAGCAAGTTGGCCGCACTACAGCAGGAACTGACCCTTTGAGAATGAAATGCAATGTAGACAACACGGCGGTCAGGGTGTGCACAGATGACCCAGCGCCCCCCGCCTTTGCACCGGTTGACATCTTGAGCCCAACAGGTCTGGTAGAAGGCTCCTTGCGCGCATGCACTCTTCTTTCAAGGACATGTCCACCCTGTGGAGCACTGAAGCTATTGCTGTCACATGACACTTCGCCAGGGGAGTGTCGGGTGATGCGCATACACATCCAACAGACCTGCTCGCTGCGTAGCGAGTACGTGTGGGAAGGAGCACGAGACGTCGCTAACTACTGCATTGTTCGCAAGCCCAGGTGCGTGAGCGTGCGAGCACGCAGGCACACACGCACACATGCACACATGCATCGCCTTCATCCACTGCACCTATGCCAGCAGTCTTCTGAAGATTGTCCCTCTAGGAACTGGTGGAGGGACAGCAAACGAATGTTTCGAGGCCTGCGCCTGGGCTACAGCCCATGGCCAACAAGGCTGGTGATTGTGTACGCCATCGACTGCGAACATATGGACGACCCCGACTACCAGGAGCAGGTACAACTCTCTCCTTGAATTGTGCAGGCCATTACCCATACCCACACGCTCGTTCAGGTCTTTAGGGAACTGCACGGGATGCTGGGTGAGGGCAAGGGCCAGTTTTATCAAGGGCTCTGTCTCAACCTCCACTTGATCAACCCCAAGTCCGTGGACAATGTTGACATGATACGCCAGCGCCTCAAGGTACACAGGAGACTCCCATGACTCGTCCCTGTGTGGCAACTAAGGTGGCCGCAGATCCCGCTGATGCAACAGCCAAGACGCGACTGCGAGTACTATGCGGGGCCAGTTGTGTTCTACGTGACGGCCTTCACCATGTCCGACCACGAAACACTCAGTACGTGCACACCAGTGCCCAGCGTCCCTATTACTCTTTCCTTGTACTGACAGGCACCGCCAACCACAAAGAGGAACGATGGGCAAGGGAAGAGCTGGTGATGGCAGCGTACCTGTGGCTCATGGTCCAGCCATCCTTCTATCACCACTGGAACGCGCCAACAGAAGGGAACTCCTGGCTGTGTGCTCTAACTGATGAGCGGTCCCAGCTCAGCGACTAAGGCCCACACCCTTTCTAAATTAGAATTCTCCGGGCGTTAGCATAACTTCAAGTCGCAGGCACTGGTGGCCAAAATAGTCGTGCTCGATCGGGCGAGGTCGATGTAAGCACCCTCGCCGAATTCACTTTGCCTCGTCGACGCGCGCCCAACACGATGGGCGGCGACGCGCGGCGTTGGCGATCGAGACCATCATACTTGGACGGTAAATGTCGATGCAAGCAGTAGCCCTTCCTCTTGTAGATCTCCTCGACGGTTCTGCCCCACTTACTGTAGGAGCTGATGTACTTGCGCACGGCGCCACTGTTTCTGTCCTCCCTGCTCGTCCTCCTCACCAACGCTCGGCGTCGTATGACCTGCATCTTGTACCGTGGCAGCAGCACTCCCCATCGGTGCTCGACGAACTCTTAGATGAACTCGTGCACATCGCGGACCGCCGCTTCCACCATCTCGTGCCAGTTGGTGGTGATATCGCTGTCGAAGAGGTACACGCTCCCGTGCTTCTTCGGCCGGTACTTGAGCTCGAACGCACGGAACCAGGCCATGGCATCGTTAGCGATCCGCGTGGCGATGAGGATGTCGCGCTGGTTCTGGTGCATCTTCGCTGTCGTCGGACGGTTTCCGGGTATCAATCGCTCGAGGCGGTGCATCGCACCACCGATGAGCCTGGCCCTGTCGCGGAAGACAGAGACTTGCAGCCACGCACCGCCGACCACGTAGGCCATGGCGTACTCGAACGCCCGCGCTTCGCCGTCGAAGAACTTGTGCTTGGTCCCTTGGTGAAGCTGACACATAACACCATCTTCCACTTGGATGAGATCCTCGGAGAGAAGGAGCTGGCTGAGCATGGCCTCCTCGAGGATCGGGATGAGCATGGGCTTGGCGTTGAAGAACTGAAGTTGAGGTTGTAGTTGTACTTGTACTTGGAGTTCTCGTGCACCCACAGCTTCTACAATGCCGAAAATCGAGGGAGAACCAGGAGGGCTGCCAACTTGACCTTCTCTTCGTCTGAAATGGTGGCGTATTCGTAGAGCTCCAAGATGGCATCAATGCACCCGCCCTTGTACATGGGCATCTGTTGTTGTTGTTGTTGCTGGCCTTCAACTGCTGTCAACTCATGAGAGGCCTTTGGCGGCATCTCACTGACTAAGAAGTCAACAACCAAGGAGGAGAGTTTGTTGCTATCAGTGGTAGATGAGGAACTCATGATGTGTTTGTTTTTTTTTCAAGAGGCAAAAACAGCTGTTGTGCAAAGAGATGGTTATTCCTACTTTCACATAACCATGATAATCATGTTCAGCTAGGCTTACTGACAAAATTGTTAACACAAGAAAAATTAACAAATAAATCTGTAGCTGGGCAATAATGCCTCATTCATAACTCACCAGACTGCCAATGGACGCCCCCAAAGGATCTTGATGCAATGGCAATCAAATTGCTGGGAAATAAGAAAAGGCTGATGGTGGCTGTACACTGTGGATGTGCCCAAGATCAACCCACCCCATGGATGTGCTCATCCATCAGCAGCCACCCAACTTCACCTGTTGACTCATCCTCTGGCCTTCCAATCTCCACCCCAACCTCTCCCTCAAGGTGAGGAAGAGGAAGATTACAATGTAGAAGGTTGAATTAAACCAACCAGCCACATGACTCATACCAGCTGAGCATGATTGGCATGGTTATTTATTTAAAATGGCTGTTATTGCTGGGAGAAGATCATCTTGGGGATTGAATGAGCTTTGAAGGTGTGCTTTGAGAAAGCTGAACACCTGTTCAGCAGGGCTGAACTCAGGGCAGTACTTTGGTAACAACCAGTAATCTGCCCCAAGTGCATTGATGTGCTCAAAAGCTACATCTTTGCTCCAGCCATGCTGATGAAATGAACAATTATCTCCCAAGATGACATCCCCAGCATGAATACAATCTAAAATGAACTCAATAAACTTTTCACTGTTGCTTGAATCAGCAGTGAATGAAAAGATAAGGGGGAAGGGGGCATCCAGTATCATGAGAACATTCACCATCCAGCTCTCCACCATGATGTCATGTTGATATCTTTCCTGCAGTGGTTGTTGTCTGCAGTGTGACCAAATGACAAGATTGCCAAGATGTGTGCAGTCAATGCAGGCCTCATCAAAGACTTTGACTTGGTAGTGGTGCAGCCATGGGGTTTCCAGTTGCCAGATGATGAAATCTTTGATGATGAGGCAGTTCGCCAGCAGCCATTTGTGGGGGTCTTTGAATGTTGCCTTCTGCTGTGAGTATTCTTTCATGAGATGTTTCATCAGTGTCAAGATGGACCACCACTCACCAAAGTGCTTCTCAAACACCTCCTGTACGCCTTTCATTGTGTATGTGACCCCTTTCTTGTTGATGGTGAGAAGCTCAATCATCAGATGAATTCTCTCCTCTGTGAATCACCACTCCTTCTCACCCATTCCATGCTTATGTGGTCCTTTCTCTCCATCTCTGTGCTGCTGTAGAACCTTCAAGACAAGTGCGCCAGCTTTTGCTGTGTCCAGTCATGGTGACTGTTGCTCTTTGACACAATGGCGTGCCACATGAGGGGGTCACCAACACCAACTTGTCGCCACACGCCCAAGTCCACACGCTGAATGATTGGCTTCCGTGGCATCTTCAAGATCTTGATGAAGTTATCATTTATTGAGCACAGCAGCAGGCTTTTATTGATTTTTGTGATAAATGCCCGAGTTATCAACTTTACCCTCGGACTTGGGACGTTATTTCAAGTGTAGTGTGCCGCAACGAACACGATGCGCGTGGTCAGCAAGGCCGTGCAGATGATGTGGATGGCTGTGGCGATCATCGTAGGGCTGTTGATAGGTTGCTGCGTCAATATGGCAACCAGCGACACTCTCACCCACACTCAGGGGGAGCGAGCGTACAGCGTGGCATGCGTTCCCTACACCGGCTCTCCCGCCACCGCAGGGAAGTGTGACCATGTCATACCACCTTCAACCAACGTATTTCTCACGTACCTACGTCCCACCACATTACCCGCTACATGATAAGTTTGTTTTAGGTTTTCGGTGTTGCATATTTAAATATAGATCCTTACTGATTGGGTCGGGACGACCGCAACCCTCCTTTTCCCCTTTGCAGGTATCCCGACACCTACGCTTCGGTCGACAAGCGTGTGGCCAACCAGGTGCGTTCTTAAACTCCTTCTTCTCGTGCTTCACAGTCCTCACGCCACCGCTAGACCGCGGCGATGGGGGCCTTCTTCCCGCCCGAGTGCCGCACCCCACTGGTGGCCTTGACCTGCATGGGCTCCTTCCTCCGCTGTCAGTTCAACAGCAACTTCCCCCTCTTCGACGGTACGACACGCAGAGATAACAATTGTGCAAGCGAATGCCGCTCAGCACACGCACGCACACGCACACACATTGGGCAGTTTATCCTCCGTGCCGCAGCGTGTGTGAGGCGGCGGTGCTTGGCTGCGCCGCCTTCTTCGAATCGCAGGGCGTGGATAATGTACAGCCTTCACACTTTGATTCGCTCTACACACTGCCGTGCTTCTTACGTTGGCCGTTCAGATGTTGCCGGACTGCGACATGATCGACAACAGCACCGGCACTCCATTCCCCGCGTTTCCGCCCGACGGCACCCAATGCATCGCGATGCCGCCTGATATGTGTACGACGTGGCGTCTGGGCAATGCTGCAGTAGCCAGCCTGACCGACTCTAATCTTTTTCGGGTCGCCAGTCGTGCCGTACGGTGAGGCGGACTGCCCCTATCCGCTCAAGTACAACTACGACGCCCAGGACTCGTTTGAAGCATCGGGCTACGACCCGAAGCAGATGTGTGTGCTGCCCTGCCCGAACCCCATGTGGTCCGACGCCGAATGGACCGCCGGAGTCACCCTCACGCTGGTCGGCAACGGCATCTCCGGCATCCTCTCCCTGTTCACCGTACGCACTCGCTCTCTGCGCACCTTGCCTCCGCACATGATTGATCGTTGCGCCGGACACTGCCCAGGCGGTCAGCATGTGTCTGATGCCCGGCAAGCGGCGGTTCCCCGGCACTCTGTTCATCTACATCGTGCGTAGGCCCTCTTAACACTCTCTCCCCATCGGGCAAGATGGTCTCACGACTCTATACCCCCGGCTGCTTGGCCAGGCGTCCTGTTTGTCGGTGATGAGCCTCATTGTAGCCTTTTTCCCAATCATTTCTGGCGGCGTTACCCGGATGGCTTGCACGCGGGTATGTATGGCACTGCGCTCACGCGAGATTGACGAGTGAACTCCAAGGACCTGAACCACTCACCACTCCTCCACGTTGGATTCTAGGGCAACCCGCCTCAAGAGGTCACGTTCGACAATGCGCGCGAATACGACGGCGCCGGCGTGCCGTGCATTCTGCAAGGTGTCATACATTCGCCTTCCCATCAACCCCTTGCGTACCAGGTCTGACGTTCGCTCGGTGAACTAGGCGTGGGCCTCTTGTACTTCTCGCTCGCCTCCATCCTCTGGTGGTTGGCGCTTTGTCTGAGCGTGTTTGAGGTACGTAGCAATCCATTGCGAGTACAAACCAAAGTGGTGTGTGTGACACATCAGTGGTCTGATTTTTTAGATGGTGTACCTCCGACGAAGCGTGCAACTCATTCGCCAGTGGCACCTCCCTTACCACTTCATCGCCTGGGGTCTCCCCTTCTGTGCCGTCATCGCTGCGTTTGCTGGGACTGTGCGCACTCCTACGCACTCATACCAGGGTTAGAAGAACTGAATCTTGATCTCGGGCTCGTGATACAGGCATATGGAGCAGTGCCGGGCATCCCCTGGTGCTTCGTGCGGGGAAGTGAGTGGTGGTCGTGGGGGCTCTTCTACATTCCTGGTGCGTTCTCGCCCCAACTCAACGTCGTAAACTGCATCGCACTGATTCCTGTCTGTCATACGCGCAGTGGCTATATTCCTGATCATCGGTACCTTCGCTATGACTTATTCAGTGTATCGGTTCATCAAGGTCATCATCTCCTCTCTATGCAAAAGAAGCCAAAGTTGGCTGACAAGTATACACGTGGCAGGTTCGGTTCCGTTTCCTTAACCGGTCCGGCGAGTCCATAGAGCAGGTGTGTAGAGCACGCGCCAATCACAATCACGTCTGCAAACCATGTTGATGTGTCATCGCTGGTGTGCGTAGGTGGTGCGACTGCTGCTGCTTCTGCTGGTCTACTGGATGGTGCTGATATACCCCTGGTGCTTCCGGATATATACTCTCGTGATCCAAGGTCTGGAATTCTCAGCCCATCGCCTTCACTGTCAGGCGAAGTCCTAACTATCTGTCTTCTGCCTTTTCCAGACGACATTGCGGCTGCATTTGAAAAGCAGATAAGATGCAGCGCAGCCACAGGGACACAATGGTAACTTGCGCTCATCCACAAACTCAGCAACCTTACTGACAACAATACCACACGTTCTGGATGTGCAGTGAGCTGGAAGAGCGGATTAACATTGGCACCTGGTACCTGCAGCATATCATGTTTGGTGCAGGAGGGCTAGCCATGTGTGTATGCTGCTGTTCTTCTGTATGTTGTAGCCTCCCCTGAATTCAGTCCATATGCCAACACTGTATGCATGTTAACACTGTTGAATACCACAGGAGGTCCTGAGGCTTTGGTTGAATATCATCAAAATTCTATTCACCCATTCCTTTAGGGACAGCCTGGAGGAGATCAGGGTACATGCACAACACCACCTTGCAGCTATCCAGAACTAACACTGTGTTGCAGCATCTTGTGGTAGGTGGAGAGCGTGGATGGGATTCACAACCAACAAAGTCATCAAAAAAGGAGGGCAAATCAATGTACTTACCATCCTCTCTAAGCATATAGATGTTGGTTACTAACACTGTGCTTTGGTAGTGGGAGCAACCCATCAACAGAGCACCACAGCTCAACAAATGAGGATGATCAACTATAGGCAATATTTGGAGATGTAAAATAGAGGAACTAGCTCTTTGTTGTTTGTGGAGTTTGCATTTGGCTGATTCATGAAGGCCTCCCCACAGAACCAATACAATTACATGTGTTGTTCCCATGTTCCCACGCCTTGCTCACTGATGGCTGCTTGACTTGTTGACAGTCATACCTGTGAAGCCTGGGTCTAGCACACTGGGCTCAAGTGGTGTCTCCTTGCTGACCATCCTGGACTGTTGTGTGTGTGTGTGTGTGCATTGCACTGAGGTCAGGCACATGTGTTAAGGGTAAGCACACAAGAGCAACAACACATGTGTGTGATGACAAACCTTGTGATGCAACACCCTTTTGCTGAGGTGTTTCACATCACTGCCCAGCTTGGTATCAGGGAGGTCCACAGCCCCACTGGCAGTGGTGGACATGACCTGCATTGTTGCCAGCAAAAGTAGGCTCAGTATACTGTGCAGCAAGTGGCTCAGGGGTGAGGCGAGTTGATCATAGCACATTAAACCAAGGCTCAGCAGTGGTGGTGTGCAGATGGGTCTCAACACCCTCCTTCACATCACCCCACATGACTTCACCTCGCTCACTCAAGATCTCCTTCTTTCCTCACTGGATGCCCAGCTCCTGGCCCTCCAAGAGAGGGTCCCCCTTCTGTTGCTTCTGCTGCTCCTGAGACATTCTACAAAGGGCCACACAGCTATTTGTCAGCAGCAAATATGAACATGAATAGGAAGAGAAGGAGGAAATGCCTGGTTGATGTTGCTGTTGTTGTGAAAGTGTAGTTTGTGTTGTGGCAAGCTTGGTAAGGTCCCACTATTGTTGAGCACTCTCATGGCCATGCTGTTGCCAGATTGCATGCACTGAACATCAGAACATCAGGTAAGGGAGGTGCCACTGGTGAATGAGTTGCATGCTTCATTGGAGGTACATCAGTGCACCTATGAGATAACACAAAAATGGTTTTATTTTCACAATAACATGACAAAATTGGATGCATCTTGAGATATGGCAGATCAAAATTCCATCATAATGAGAGATGTGATACTGTAACTGGGCCAGCAGTCAAAGTCAAATTAGTTTGGTGTGGTTGGCATAATGTGAGGATTAGTGGGGTAGCCAGTGTTCTTTATTTTATTGGCATGGTGGTGATTGTCATTGAGCACACACCTAGAGGAGGAAGTTTTTTTGATGAATTGGGAAGTGAACAAAGGAGTTTATTTTAAAAGTTGGAAAGATTGGAAAGACAGAGTTTAGTATTCACTCCTATCCACATCAGAACCAGAGTGGAAAGGGGAAAGTGACCCAAGGTCAGGCAATTGGTCAATGTCAGAGTTGTGGCTTCTGTCCCTGCTCTGGCTCCTGCTCTGGCTCCTGCTCTTGTGGCACTTGTGTCACAATCCACAGCTGTGCTTGTGGCAGTCATTGTGGGCACTGCTGCATCTGTGGGTGTGGGTGTTGGTATCCTCATGATCTTGATGCTTTCTCTTGTGTGATGGTTCTGAGTGAGGGGTTGTGGAGAGCTGGGACTGCTGTTGATTTTGAGAGTCAGTGATGTATTTCATTGTGTATGTGTATGTGATGAAAAAAGGGCATGGGTGAATGAAAACCTGTGTAGGGGTGCTAGGAGCTGATGCTGTGGAAGAACGGGGTGAAGGTTGAGAAGAAGTGGAGGTACTGGATGAGGTGAGTTGATGTGCCACTGTCTGGGCTGCTGTAGTCCAGGATGTGATGTTGGATGGGTTGGAGTGAATGAGGATGCTGTTGATAGCACTTGTGATGATGTTGGTCTTGGTTTTGTTTGGTTGTGCTGAAGCTCCATTGATGTGGTAGCTGAAGTTGAGATGGAAGCAGGCATGGAGTGGAGTAGCATGAAGTGGAGTGTAGTTGAGAATGCTTTGTGGTTTGGTGCTTGAGGCGTAGGCAGTGAGGACAAGCTGATAGAAGACATGACCTATTGTTGGTAGGAAAGCAGGTTAGAAGAGCATGTGCCACCAAGTTACATGAGCAAAATACATACTCAGTTGATGCACTTGGGAATCTTGGTGATGTCCTGGACCAGCAGCAACTCTGGATTGAAGGTATAGGACTTGTTCACTCTACTGATGAAGATGGTGTAGAGGCCTGCATGAGCATTGTGTATGTGTATGTGATGAGTTGTCAGCATATTTCTAAAAAGGAGTAAGCTGTGGAAGGGGTAATGAAGAGCAATAAGTCATCACATACACATACACAATGCAATGTACCATTGTGTTGGACCCCACCAGCACTCTTGGAGCAGATGTTGGGGATGCTCCCTGAGATGAGACACAAAAGCTGCCAGGGGCTAT